GACAGTGGGACAAAGAGTGACACGGGACAAAGCTGAAAAAGCTGACTGCCATTGGACTGAAAAGTGGGAGAGATGAAAAGGAGCAGAAGAGGACTGAGGCGGCTGTTTTAGTGTGGGCAATCAAATTGGGTTAAGGAATTCGGGGAGACAGGCGACTGCCTGGAGGTGGAGGATTACAGTGTCCAGACCACCACAAAAGGGGGAGGACGACAAGCACTCAGGTATGCAAGTGTACTGTTAGAAAAAAATGGAAAGTGACACGACACATACAGATAATATGCACCAGAGATAAAAAAAAAAAATCATACACAAAGTGTTACACATTAAGAGAGGGCATTTGTAGAAGGGGTTAACAACACACAGTGTGGTTGCCGATGGTAACCTGCAAGCATTTGGGGTTTAGCTGTGCCTGACTATGACAGAGTTTTTCATTTGTTTCTGAAACAAAATTTGGAGTGAACGGAGCTTTGTTTCAGAAAAAAAAGGGGGAAGGTACATGAAAGGATACATAAAAACAGAACATGCACTAACCCTACTAATACAAACACAAAATAACTCATGAAGATTAGACAACATTTTAAGTGTGTGAGTCCGTTTATCATCTTGTCCAAGTCACCTCGTGTGATGCAAAGACCTGGTGATTAAACTCATAGCTAATAAGACACATTAGGCTTATGTGTGTGTTGTGCAGCTGATGATTGATTTGGAGTGAATCTAGCTGATGATTCTTCTCCTGTTGAGAAGTCGAGCTTGCCGATTAGTATAATGGTATGATTTACCCTCCTGAGATGAGGAGTTTGTGTCATGACTTAACAAGGCCTTTTTATTTTGATACTTTTACAGTGCACTGAAAGTTTGGTTTGATAATCTGTTATTTTTCATTTTTATCTTTTGAACAGGCACTGATTTTGTTTGTCTATTTCTTTTCTTTAAGCAGATCTGCACGTCGGGAATTAAAAGTGCTATACGACCTGTCGAGAACGCCGTTACAAGTGCATTTTCTCCACATTAAAATGGGCTCAGGAGAAAGCCACTTATTTGGGACAATTATTAAATGAATGTCCCAGCCTGAAAAAGGATTCAGCGAGGTAATCCGATCTAAAAGTTTTTTTTATTTTTGAGATGACGTCATTTTGCTGAGAGTGGAAACTAAATGCGACAATCGATTCCACTATCAGCAAAGAAAGAAAGAATGAATGTATGAATGCGTGAGTGAAAGGAAAGAAAGCTGACTGACTGGTAAAAGAAACTGTGAGAAAGTGTACACACCTGCGCAGCGCTAACATTTACATTTCTTTTTACAGCAGATGATTAATCATGTGTTTGATCATGTGGTTTATAAGAGGATTAGTTAATGTTTTTTTTTACTATAGGATTTCTGGGTTTATATGTGAATGACATTCTTTCCACGAGAAGGGATGGTTGACTTTATGGTCTTTTTATGGCACCTCTGGAACCTGTTGACCTGTGTCTGACCTCCGTCTGACCACAGTCAATGTGTATTGCTAATGTTTGTTTCTCTGAGAATGCTGTGGAGGATTCGGCAGAGGCGGACAAGTGACATTAGTAAAACAAATAAGAGATTACGATACTTATGGAATAGTTTATTATGGGCTCATTTGCTGGCCACTTTTGAATCCATAATAATATATGAGTGGAGTGACTTTGCTTAAGAGAAGTCACCGATTACATTAATGTTAACTGAGCACATGGGATGATCCATGTTTGAGGCAAATTGGGGTGATAATAGTGATTTAATGATTTGAGAAAACTTGCACATGACACTTGTCTTGCCCGTGCTTATTACTCTTTTGATATAATTGTTTATATGTGTGAAGTTTGATTTTATTTCCAGATCTTGTCTTCCAGGCCATGATGGCCAGTTTTTAAGACAGGGATCCAGGTTTGGTGAGTTGACGCATGAGAAGTGTCCATGCGTCAAGAGGTGGAGTCCAAGGATTAACATTAAACAATGTTTTCTATTATTATTGCTGCAGTGATTTAACCGTTTATTTACGGGTATTAAACCTATGCAAGTGGTGCACCCATGTTCAGATGAGGCTTTGATGGTCTATAAGTTCACTGAACTAAAGAATGTGGTTTGATGATTGTTGACATGCTCTCCAAATAGAAGTTTTTCTAAAATACAGGTGCAGCAGTAATCTCCTGGGAAATCTTCAGAGGCCCAGTGAGAAGCGAGAACCATTCCAGGCATAGCTGACAGCACCAGGCGGTTGTTGAGGTCAAAGGTCAAGCTGGTTAGGGCCCATCATGAGATCAGACTTTGGAGCCACAGCAAGGACCATGAAACTGCGTTGGAATGAGAGCTGTGCCAAAGGGGATTTCCAGAGGCCAACAGAGGAGATTGTGGACAACAGATGGGCACCTGAAGGATGAGGGGAGCGTGCCAAGCTCCATCGACAGCACATTAGGGAAATCTCACACTTGGTTGTTTCAGTGGTGAGGGGGGAGTGCTGATTGAGCCCCCGTAGGGTAAGCTCGCACTCCAACCTCCAGCCTCTGATCAACTCTAGGGCAACCAAGTGTGAGGTGTGATGGATCTGTGTGCAACCATGGGGAGGTGGACCCTCCTGGTTACCTTGACTACGATGCTCACCCTTACAGGACTTCAGCTGACCTCAACAGCAGCTGAACCAGGAGGCAGGCAGAAGAGATGGACACACGACACCTCTCACCTAAGGGACATGACGCAAGATCACATTCATCCGTGGATGAATAATGCCTGGTACCGTTATATCCACGACAGAACAAAGGCAGAATCGGCAAATACAGACTGTTATGTCTGTTCTCATATGCCCAGCACGTCGACACACCCCACATTATATGGCAAATATATGAACAACACTCAAGCAAAGTGTGCAGCCAGCTTTGCTGGCATTGGATTCCAACACAGCCGAATCATCATCGACGATAAAATCTCATACGCTGTTGGACTTAGTAATGGAACATGTGATCAACTCTTTTGGATCGACTTCAATGTGACAAATCGGAATATCTCTATCCATTTCCCAGTGTTCCTGGACCAAGTGCCAGGAAAGAACCACTCCATGTGTTACCAGCAAGAGAAAGGTAACAGACCCCTTGGAGACACCACAAATTGTGTCCAAGCTGCAAGCCACGGAGAGGGCGCACCTGTGAACATGAGTGGACCCTCTAACGGCACATACTGGGTGCAAGGAATGGCCTGGCTATGTGGACAACGGGCATATTTCATATTGCCCCCAGACTGGACAGGAACATGTGCTCCTATATTCCTGTCAGACCACACCTTCAGGATGACTGCAGTGAACACCACTTCTACACTACGCCGGAAAAGAAGATAGCGATTCTAAACTTCAACCACATGACCCGATATGGGGAGGCGACGTGCCTAAGGAGTTAAATTATGACTACTGGACAGGAAGTACTCCATTCATGTTCCCCTTGGTGGGAGCTGGAAAAAATGCTGAAATTGAAACTCTGGATTACCGGTTTGGACTTTTCCTGAACGCTTCATGTAAGATCAACGAACAGCAGAACCAGAAATATGCATTACGGAATTACAGCGATGCAACATCAAGTAGCTCTGGACTTGTTATAGCAGAGAAAGGGGACTTGCGTCCTTTTAATACCACATGCTGCACTTACATACCAGACGATGTACATTCATCAAACATGACTGACCCCTGAATGTTTTGAGACAGATCCAGCAGGCTCAAAATCAGGACTATGTAGTGATACAAGTGACTGGTTCTCTTGGCTATAAACTGGCTCCTGTTACAGTGCTAAAAAGATACTCATCGGAGTTGGGATATTTTTACTTTTATTTTGTGTTTTGTAACGTGTATATTGCCATGCCTAAGACTCATGATTAACCGCATAATATTTTCTACTGTTGCTGCATATACAGCTGTGACAAATGATGATGATAACTTTGCCTGTTGGAACATGAAGACTTTGTGTGATTAATGACGATGTACAGAAAATGTACGATAAGATGTTACAAACTATATCTCACTTTAAAAGTTTTTCTGACAACAGGAGGAATGTCAATGGAAAATTGTATTAGTAGTCAGTATAATCTTTTATGATATAAGTTTGCTTATGTAGGATGCTGTTTGTAGTTATTGTAGTGACAGATGTGTGATTTTTAGCAGGCTTGTTCACCCCCACATCCTGGAGCATGGGAGAGGTCGTACCTTGTTTATTGTAGATACATCCTAACTTGAAGATCTGTTTGATGTTTGGTAGAGCTTCCTACCCTTTGTATGGTTTCACTGTGTTATCTTTGGTAAACCATACAATGGGTGTGGGGAAGACTACCCTCTTTATGACCAAGGATTGTGCTCCTGCTTTAGGTTATATGACCCTTGTTCAACACACACACACACACACACACACCACACACACACACACACACACACACACACACACACACACACACACACACACACACACACACACACACACACACACACACACCACACACACACACACACACACACACCACACACACACCGCTCAATGGAGTATAAATAAAGACCGGGCAGTTCTCTCACTGGAGTCTCTTAGAGTGGAGGCTGCCCTTGCTAGCAAAAGTTCTGTGTGTTTCTCTTCTCTGAGTCTTTACTGAAGAAGTGTTTTAGAACATTTCCCTAACACTCTGTTATAAGCCAGCTCATAAACTAGAGCCTATCACCAGAATTGGTCAAGCATAGGTGAAATTTAAAAGCCTACATATGCTTACTTAAAATCTAGTGGGGGCAACAGACAGTCGCTCTAAGTGATGGGTATCAAACGCAGGTTGGGTTTGCCTTTATCCAAACTTTTTACACACGAAAATTAGACAATTAATTTAAAATCTGAGAAAATAGCCTGAAAAAACTTTCAAACAATCCATAGATGTGCAAAATATTAATCAACATTTCTGTTGCAGGCTCACCTGTGAGTACTGCTGGTAGTTTGACTGGCCATAACAGGTCGTCGGAGGGGAGCGTCAGTGTGGGACGCCGGTCCCTGCCGATAACCTGACTGCATGCCAGGGTAACCGTAACTACCGTAGGGCTGAGCCTGGTTGGTCACATTGCTGGATGGTGGCATGGATTCTGGAAAGAGAGACAGTGCAGGAGTACAGTAGTGTGATGTTAAGAAGACAGAACATTTTTAAGGTGTTTTAACATGACCAGAAAAATAAGATCACTGTGTTAATGTTGATTTAGAATAAGTTAGAATAAGTGCCAAATTATCCCTAAACAACAAAAAAAAGCCTTTTCAAGTAGCATTTGCAGTCCCCTTTGCTGTCTCCATTAGCTTTGGTCAAACTACACAATTGTTATCAATTAGATGAATAAAGAGCCATAAGAGATGAGACGTAGTTAAACATCAGGAACACTGTACCAGTAACAAACTAACAACAATCACATTTAAAGCGTTGTGAATGACACTGCTGTCTTCTGCTTAGAAAAGCTGGGTCGCATCAAAGGGAATATGTGGATTGTCTTAAAGCCCGTTTTTCCTCTCTCTGCTGTGAAAAGTTGTCACTAGATAACAGAAGACCCAAGTCTTTTTGCCACATCAGCTGTCAGCAAATATAGCTGTGTTAACACTGCAGAACCTTCCTCAGGGATAAGGAAAAGGATCTAAATTCAGTTCACGGAGAATTATTTATCCTCTAAGAGTCCCTGCTTAGGAGGCAGCACTTTCTTTATATTCAAGAATATTTTCATCCGGTCATTCTCACATCTGTTTTCCAGCACTGACCTAAGACCCTAAAATTCAGCTTTAACAATTGATTAAGGTTTTATAACAGATTTCATTTTATGCAAATGCCAAGTTATAAAATATTGTGCACTGTACATATTGTCAAAGAAAGTTGATTTACAGTTAGACAAGCTGTGATTTTACTGAGAGTTGCTCAGGTGCATGAGGTGCAGTCTGTCTGTGATGAACACGTACCTGGATAGCTGCCACCTTCGAGGGAATCGTAGCTGTTGGGCACCGGAGAGGCACTGCCAGTAGAAGAAGAGGATGTGTCACCGCCTGCGAGAGGCAGAGAGGGAAAAAATGAAACTCAAAAGGCATTAAAAACTGTTATTATGAAGGAAAAGACAGCTTGCAAATATTACTCTGTTCAAATAAATAATGGCACAATAAAAAAAATCTAAAGACAAATGAAGTGAAACGGGGAGGAAGGACAGAGTGTTGAGATAAAAATGAAAGACAACATTAAAGTGAATAAAAGCAGATTTTCTGGTTTGGTCGTGCATGGACTCCCTTTAGCCTCACAGAAAGAAAACGAAGGAGAAGAGGCAGACTGAAAGATGGAAAGAAAACATAAAAAGGAAGCACTTAAGTTTTGAGTATATGCAAGTTGCTGTGTGGGGGAAAGGACGTCTGAGGACAGGACATGTGTAGAGAACTGAGGGGGGGAAAGAAGATATGAGTGTGTGCGATGGCACAGATCGAAAGACATTTCAGCATGTTCAATAAAACCAGTTAGCTACAGGCCATTAGTGAGGACAAACCACTGGAAGCTACAGGTGGTGCCTGATCAGAGAAAGGTGGTTTACCAGATGTGGATTAGTCAAGCCTTATCTTTTTTGTAATCTAAAACCAAAATTAAATAAATTCTTTTTTGGAGAACTTTTATATTAACATCTACCATCTGAATTCAGCTTTCTGACAAAAAGGCTCCCAGTGTCCTCACAAACAGGCGGTTAGACAACACATGCCTCAGATTCCTCTGTTCAGCCAGCAAAACTAAAGAAATGCATTAAATTAATAGCTGAGTCATTTATATTTAACACCTGGAACAAGTTTATCACCATCATCAAAACTCTGAACTTGCTTTTTTCCCCCTAGTAACCAAGTTTTTATTCCTTTTTACAATTTCTATATCTTTTCTAAACTTTTCATTTTATTACTGCCCATTTTATTTATTTTGTAGTACAGTACTCATTTAGTTTTATGCCCTTTTTAAAATGTTATATTGTGACTGACTACTTTTTGTCATAAACTAATCTGTGTTCTCTTAAAGCACTTTGTGACTATGTCAAAGTATCTGAAAAAAAAATCACTACTACTACTACTACTACTACTACTACTACTACTACTACGTCTGTGAAGGTTCTCAGTCATCCAGGTCATCGTAGTCAAAGGAGCTTGCAGAGAAAAGCGTCTGGACTTCTTTAAGTTGCTTGAAGACGTTTCACCTCTCATCCGAGAAGCTTCTTCAGTTCTAAGGTCAAATGGTGGAGAGTCCCAGATATAAACCTAGTGGGAGAAACCCCCCACAGAGGACCCACTAGGTTTATATCTGGGACTCTCCACCATTTGACCTTAGAACTGAAGAAGCTTCTCGGATGAGAGGTGAAACGTCTTCAAGCAACTTAAAGAAGTCCAGACGCTTTTCTTTGCAAGCTCCTTTGACTACTACTACTACTGCCATCATCATTTTCAGTTTAACTGTTTCAGTGATCAAACACTAGGCATGCCCAAATCACCCCACCTAGGAAGTGTCCAGGACACATTTTCCTCAGAGGTCCGAGCCACCTCGGCTGGCTCGTGTCACGGCTCAACTCTGAGCTCCACCCAAATGACCGAGCTTCTCACCCAATCTAGGGAAACTCATTTCTTGTGTTTATGATGTCATTCTTTTCGTCTCTATCCACCGCTCATGGACATAGAGGAGGGTAAGGCTGGCAGCTAACTCGAAAGCTTCACGTTACGTTATTTAAAAAAAAAAAAAAAAAAAAGCATGAAGGCTTTTAAAATTATTTTTCAAATCCCTCAGCAAGCTGCCATAACCTTTCAAGAATTAATGCTGCAGTCAAAATAGCGTGTGGACTCATTTAGTGCACTGCAACACTCCCGGTTCAAATCCAACATTGGTTGCATGTTATCCAACTCCATCATATCGCTTTTCTAATTTGCTTCAGTGCCTATGAGGTAAAATATCCACAAAATAATCTTAATAAAAAAACAGCAGCAAGCAAAAGGATCTTTTCGTTTTTGTCTGTTTATTCCTTGCATGTCATGTAATGAATAGGTTTTCCCAAAGGATTACATGGGCAGTAATATTTGAATGGATCCACTAATCCATGTGTGCCAAAAGGAGGGATCAACAGCAGCAAACCAAGATGTGACAGGCCTCAGGGACAGAGCTCATTGGACAGGGCAAGATCCAATTATCTCAGACTAAATCGGACCAGCAGACTACTGGATTAAGCACTAGGGATGACGAGGACACCAGGAGAGCCAAGCCTTCTCCTCCTCCTTCAAGAAAATGGATACTACCAAGACTATATAGAGCTCATTGTAGCCAGTGTTGATTTGCAGTTGATCTTAAAAGTTTTAATATGAGCCCAGTTTGGACTCCACATACATTTATATTCTATTACTGCACCAGTACATGTGTAACTTAATGGTTACTGAGCCGACTAAGGCCTATTTCAAACCAGGACAAACCTTGCATGTATTTGAATACTTGATTCACACTCAGCAGTAAGACCATGACAACAACAGAGATGACACAGCAACACAAACCAAAGAAACCAAAACGCCGTCCCTGACTCCAGACAGACTTAATTAGTGAACAAACAAACAGCCAACTGAGTAACGCCTTAAACTCTAGTCGTGGATAACTTTTGTTATGTGAACAGTTACAAAATAAAGATAAATTGATCAAAACATTTTGGCATATAATCAATAAGAAAAACTTGTCGTGTGTATACAGATAACAAAAATGAATGACCATACACAAATCTGAAATAAAACAGCTGTAACTAAATAAATATGAGGCAATCCAAGATTAAAATTCAGAACTACTACTGCTATTAGAAATATTAGTGTTGCTGTTGGCTGTGGTTGCCATTAGCTGCGAGGCTGGTTGTTGCTGCTGGTGTTATAGTCGGTTATTTTGGTTGGCGACTGCTGTTGTTGATAGTAGGTGATGGCAGTATTATCAAAATGTGACAGGTGATGAATTGATTCATCCTGATAACATACGTCTGCTGTTAGATTTGTGTTATAAATTAGTTTAATCAGGTTTGCTTATAATGTTCATTTTAAAATGTATTTAAACTATTTTTCAACTAATAACTTGCAAGCTTTGTCCTACAAAAGTCTAAAATGCACTGGTTGTTTTCTGCTTTACTTGTGACTCTGAACCCATTTTGTTATTTTCAATATCATGATTCTGGTAAGCGTGGCTTCCTTGAATCAACAAGTGCTATTTTGCTGCAACAGACAACCTGTAAGACAGCAACACTGTGGGGAATTGATGAGAGCACGAGGGATAAACAGAAAGCTAAACCAAGCTCCTCATTTTATTAGGCAGTGCGCTAATGAGTTGTAGCAGTGCTAACAATGCTCTCTTGTGAGAAGCAGGAGAGTCAGCAAACGCATGCATAGACAGCGGGACCTATCGGCAGGGGAGTGGTTATATTTAAACATCTGTTAACCTCTGGCTGATGACACACGTCTCAGAGGATCTTTAAAGCAGAACATCTGAGAGAGACATCACACAGGTGCATGACAACAATCAGTATCATGCTGACCTGACATTTAAATTATTAAATGTAAAATAATTTATTTCAAAAAAAAGTTACACCAAGCATTTTAGCCTTTTTAATACAATGCAAGGTTTTTTAGTACAGTGAGATTCAAGATTCAAGCGTGAGGGTCAATCAGTAGCCCCATGGACAAATAAACTTGTCAAAAAAATCAAACAGTGTACAAACAGCTAACTTCTCCATAATAAACCAATCTTTTTTCTCCTTGTAAAAACTTCCCCCTGCAAAACAAAACAAAATTACCAGGCATGTGATAAAAAAAATTTTTTTTTTAAATAAACCTATACTGACGTTTAATCTACTCACGCATGAAACACATTTCTGTTCATCAGCAATACTGAAAAGTTACTTCGTAACAGACCCCTTGCATGAACAAAGTACACTGGAATCATTTTTTTTACTTATTTGCTTCTAAATGATTTAAAAGTCCCAAAACTCACCTGAATTAAATACAAAAACAAATCTAAAACATGCAGTACATAAACCAATCCCCCCTACATCTTAGTGCTTTCCCTTTACTAGAGAATGAAAGAAAACTCTTGACATTTATGTTAGAAAATATATTTAAATTCACTTAGATTATTTAAAACCTTCATACCTTTTTCCAATTTTTAAACCCAAAGATATTCGATTATATTAATATTTCCTCTCAATACATTTTTATGTCATAAGTGCTCATCTTACATCTAGGACTCATGACCACATCTAATTCAAACTCATTCCCGAGGCTATCCAGTTTACTATCAAGAGCCGTGAACAGAGTGGAAAGAAAAACACAAAATATTGATTTTTTTTTCCATCAGCATGGATAACTGCTGATAAGTGGAGGGTCCACTACAGCTGGACGATCACACCCTGAACATTACTGAGAGACAGCAAGAGCGCTGCTCAGAGCTAGACAGCAGGCAAAGAGGACGTCGTCCTGTATATGACAACGAGCACTACTTACCTGCCACCTTTCTGAGGGAAAAAAATTTCATGTTAGCTTTCAGTGATGGAAGAACAGAACAGTGTGCACACACACTGAGGAGATGAAATCAATATTTTGAAAGAGGACTGATGAATGCGAGGGGGGGAAATGTTGCGCGCAGCGGGTGAACTCTGCAAGGCTGGTGACAAGGACCAACAGGGAGAAATATGATTAGCCTATTAGAAAGGAGATGGTGCTGATGATGAGCAGTGAACTGATTACAAGCGTTGGCAGGTAGAGTAGACGTGACAGATGGTAGCCAGACAGGGAAGAGGAAAATGGCGGTTATCAGAAGTGACACCGGATAGGCGGGACAGTAGAGGTATCTAAAGAGACGTGTACACTTTAGGTTTAAGATTACTAAAAAAATAAGGAGTGGATAAGGTAGTAGCAAAAAGGTTATGGGGGAGGTAAAAGCTAGAGCAGACCTGCTTCCTCATCCTCCTCCTCCTCCTCATCGTCATCATCAGAGCTGGATGATGAGGGGGCTGCTGCTGCTGGGCCTGAGGTGTTGGCAGAGGAAGAGCTAGCGCCACTATTAGCAACATATCCATACTGCATGCCTGTTGGAAGGGGGTGGAGTGGGAAAGGTACATAAGAGAACTGTCAGGATGAGATGCATGTCATCAGACAGGGCTGTGGTAATCAGGCGGCTGGCTTCCAGTCATGTGATACGGGTTTAAGCAAAGAACAGAGTTGCTGATGGCTGGCCGCATATTTTGTCAGGAAAAACAATTAATACTACACACAGGAAAATAGGTCAGGATGATAAAAATTTAAAGCCAATGATTACAAAGGTGAAAGTCAAAGAAGGAATTTTGTTTAGATGGAATTTAACATATACATTTAGCCTTTCTCCACCGGAGGAACCAGCATCCAATATTATGGCCTCATCGAACTGTTTTCAGGGGAGTTTTTTAGGGTTTTGGTTAGATAATGTAAACAGTTTTGATGCATTAGAGACAGACATAAGTGAAACTACTACGCAGTTGGACATATTTGACTGACCATCCAGGAATAGAGCAGGGAACTGTCTGGTGAATTCACAGTTCCCAATAGTGAGAAATGCATCTGTTGCTGCATGCAGCAGCAGGAAAGAAAGGTCAACCTTGGACAATGTCCAAATTACAGAAGTCTGAATAATCTAAAAGGCAGAAAATAGTCAAAACTGAGTGCAGTTTTTGACTATTTTCTGAAACGAAACACTAAGCCATCAAAACACTCTGTGTGTGTGTGTGTGTGTGTGTGTGTGTGTGTGTGTGTGTGTATTTAAAAGCAATATGAAACTGTTAAATTCATTCACTGATGATCAAACTTAATGTTGTTAAAATGTGTGACTGGTTGTGAGGTGTATAATTCCACACAAATGCAATGTTTGATTAGTTAGCAGAAACGCTCATTTTTCCATTAAGTACCATCTGTTTTAGACCAAGTGTTTATCTTTCACCTCGTTCATTTACTCATATTAACCTTTTGAACTATCAGGTTACCGTCTGATGCTGTACTTTAATAAAATAGGAATAATTTGTTTAACAGAATAATATTTCTGATATGATCAAGGAAAGGTCTTTTAAACGTCTAGTCGACTGGTCACCCCCATCCTTCATCTTCAATTGTTTCACCTGACACTGTCCTTGGTTCATGTGTGACAACAGCTCAAGTCTCTCTGTGGATCTTGAGTTCACCTACACTGCACTGGAAGCAGAGAGAAAGGGCTGATGATTAGGGGAAACTTCCAGTAAAGGTTCACACCACATTGTGCTTGCCCAAAGTTCCTTCAGTGGAAGAATGTCTACTTTGAAATTAACGAGTCCCTAGAAATTTAAAACTTAAAAAAAACGCAACTAGGCGTCACAGTTCAGGGCAGAAAGTAAACTTGCAGGGGTAAAGGCACATTCAAGCCAATTAAAAACAACTGAACCTTCGTCAAAAGTTAGCTTGATGCTTGCTGTATTGCTAAAGCCTTTCCGCTACAATGTTCTCATAGAATCCATCGACAACTGGAGAGCATTTCCTTTGCCTTAATGTATTCCATGGTCTAACTGTGTGCTTTCATTTTAAAATCTCAAGCAGGTAAGATGATGCCGTAATTTTGCCAGAGGTTGTAACTGACCACAAAAGCGTGCAATCAAAAATATGTACTTGTTTTAATACCAGTTAACTGATTGAAAACCAAAAATAAAACATGTCTCCATTGACTATATTCACTCTAGAAAGCAACTCTTTGAAATGCTGTGTATTTGGTCTAAATGCATTGTAAATCTTTAAACATGGCTCAGTTGAAAAAGTGTTTGGATCAAAATTATATCAATTTATTCTGTCGAAGTAAGAGTCAAATTTTTGCAACCCAAATCAACATTACAGGAAAGAGTCTAATTATCCTGACCAGCCACTAAAGTTAAGAGTGAAAAACATTCACAGGAAAAATAAACCAGCAGCACGTTGCTAAAAGCAAACCTGAAACCCCCAAATTTGTATACAGACCCACACCTGCACATCGGAAAGCGTGTGTGTGTTTGCAGCTAATTATGTGTGCTATATTCCCAAAGTGCAGCTGTAACCCATTCACGTGCAGTGTGCGTCTAAACAAGCTGCATCAGAAGACACAAAAACAGTCACTATAGTACAGAAAAAACCAAGATAAGAATGTTGTTCAAACGTCGAATGCAGCAGGTGGAGAAAATAGGTCTCCAATCATAAAAAAAAACCCCAAAACATTTTAAAGAACACAGTTTTAATGTAAGGTACACAGTGTGGTACTTCTCCGAGCAGCGAAAAAATAAACAGGAAACTGATTTCATGCAGACTTTCAAACTACAAAACGCTTTCATCTTATTTTTTGGCAGGTTATCTGCACAGGCACAGATTTTCAGTTTTCAGCTTCCACACATAACATATTTTTCGGAACATAAGGCGCACTGTCGATGAGCTGGTCTGTTTTCATACATAAGGCACACCAGATTATAAGGCACACTGTCGATTTTTGAGAAAATTAAAGGATTTTAAGTGCGCCTTATAGTGCGAAAAATATGGTACACAAACATAAAAATCTTCATGTTTACAATACATAATGACGATTTACTCTCATTCTTACCTTGACGGTGGCCCGGTGAGGAATGGACTGAAGCGGAAGGGGTTCCTGAGGGTGGTCTGTCTGCCTCAGCACCACCACTGCTTTGAGTGACCCCACCATAGGAGTTGTAGCTCAGAGAAGCCTGATTGGTTTGGCTGTAGTGGGAATGGACTGCGTTTTGGGCTGCAGTGAAAAAAAACACAAACAGCCACTGAAACAGCACAAGGACAGTGCTTTCTAAGGATACTGAGGGATAGCTTTGGGTTCAAAAATGCAAACATGTTAATTTATTTCCTTCTTTAAACATAAAAATGCATACAATGCACAAACAGTCAAAATATGCTTTATTTTGGAAACTTACAGCAACAAAAAAAACTAAGCAGAAAAAATTTTGCAGAAAAAATTTAATTTGCCCACCAAACACTGACAAAAAAACCAAAACAAAGCATTTTCCGCCAACATCCACCAGATTTTCTTAGCCTATAAAACTCCACCTGCATTTTCAGAGAATTCACAATTGCAGAGTCTAGCAGCATTAAAATGTGACTTCACTGGGTACCTGTGCTTCCTTGACCATTCACTGTTGGTGCCACTTGGCTGGGAGGAGCCATGCCATACCCAGAATGCCCTGATGCTGAGGAGGCTGGAGGCTCAGCACCGTACTGATGTAAAGGTGCGCCCATCTGGGTGGTGCTCTGGGAGGAACTCAGAGTGCCATACTGGCTGCTTCCTGGAGCAGACGGGTATGAAACAATGGGGTAGAGAGGACCTCCAGGCCCACTCGCCGCCATTGGGACCAAACTGGGTTGTTGTTGCTGCTGCTGAGACTGCTGTGCTGGAGAAGCATGGTATGACTGTGGTCCATAGTAGGATGCCGGAGTGGTGTAGGGTGGATGCTGCTGCTGCTGGAATGGCTGTAGGTTGTACTGGGCATTTGACGGTGGAGGTGCTGAAGAAGGATGTGTGGCATATGGCTGAGAAGGAGGGGCAGAGCTCAGTGGAGCACTGTAAGGTGCTACATGATGCTGAGGGAGGTGGTGCTGTTGCAGCTGCTGTGGATGGTTGTTCTGGTAGTAGTTAGCACTGTGGGCACTGTTCGTGATGGGTGCTTTGCTGGAAACTGGGGTAGCTTGGGATGGGATGGTGGAGTAGCTCTGTTGCTGTTGAGCTGGAGCTCCATAGTAGCCTGTAATTGGATACATGGAAGGGTAGCTCTGTACCGGACCTGGAAGGAGGCGGGGCAGGATAGCAAAGCACATGGTTAATAAGCATAAATGTCGACTCTCACTATTACACTCCAATTACAGAGTAAAAATAAACAGAAACAAGAACAACTCTATTTAAGTTTTTAAGTTTTAGAGTTCTTCTTGCCGAGTGAAACATTTCCAATTTGCTCACCAGGCAGCGCTTTTTAAAATATTGACATCTGACTCAGAATCATACTTTTATTTTGAAGGGCCAACTAGAACAGGATTGTGTGGTTTTAATGTCACAAAACACCATTTTAGATCTAAGCCTCCCAGAAAGTTGGCATTTCAAAGACAAGGCAGAAGAGTCAACTACAAGACCACGAGGATTCTAACTTCTCTCTGACATTTGTTTTCAATGGCTAAAAAGGTTTGGGGCACCAAACCCCTGAACTTCCACAATCACAGTTTGAACGAATATAGGGAATATCTCAGAAACACAAAACTACTGAATTATCTCCCTCTGTAGTAATTTAACAAATTAAAGTGTGGGCTCTAGAAAGAAAGACAGCTTCCAGAACCGCACCTCACATTCATATTTAGCTACAGAATGAATGCATTATCACACATTTTTGAACATTCAACTTTAAAGACGACTAAAATGTAAAAAAATAAATAAATTAATTAAAAAAAATAGAAATGATCTCTAAGAACACGCCCATTGTCCCCACCATCTTTAATACATAAATACACATGCAAAAATAGAATTAAGCTCTATTATCTCTATTTAAAAATGCAGTATAAAGCCTACGACATACATACACACTTTTCCAATATGCAAAATGAATATTGGCTAATGTCTACTTCATAGCTACGACAAATTAGAAATAATGGACCACAAAGTACAAAACACGCTTTATTTTGAGCCAAACTGCAGCCTGATTTTAAGATTTTATCCCCTCTTATTTGTTTACTTAAGAAGGAAATTAGTTGGTTGTATTCCTTCTCTTTTGAGATAAATATTTTTGCGAAGCTCTGTCCTGAAAACTGAACCATTTATTAGAGACGATTGTCTTTCCTACTTTACCCTCCACAAATTAGTTTGTTCACATGTGTTTAGATATTCTTGTGAAGCTTAATACACGTGCACGAATATATGTTAAATATGAAAATCTGATCACAGGTTATCATTTACTGTAAACACGCTTGAGCAGCCTTCCTTGAAAGGCTAGCTCTCAGTTGAAATAAGCAGCCTTCTATTAATAGAAAGTAAATTGTTTTAACGCAACTTCTATTAAGTCGTTAGCTATTGGAGATTTAATAAAAACAAGAGGCTATGGAGAGGTGGTGCGCAATCTGTCAAACAGCTATTTTCATGCTAACAGTTAGCTACCGTTACCATCCGTTTTCAATACCCACGTTAGCTTTTAAGTTAGCTACCTTTAGCAAGTGCTTAGCTTCAGCTAAAATCATCAGTCTTTTAATAATTCATGCCCATAATTTACAGCTAATGCCAGCATCGCGACTGACAGTAAATGACAGTTCCAGTGTATAAAATGCAAAAAGCAAAGCGAAGGACCGACAAATAGCCCGCCAATGGGGTGTTAGCATGCTAACGAACCATTCTGATAGGGTGGCGCTGCTCCGCCGTTCGCTGCAGAGTTCTGGCTGTAGCTGACGGAGCTGTTCAGGTTAGTGAAACCGGGCGCAGACATCGCTGGGTCTTCCCGTCCTTATGCCCGCGAACACACAGCTGACCGAATATACATGAGCGTCACTTTCTCGGACCCAGCCTTCCCCGAGAGAAGCGATTCAGAGGCTGCTACTGCTCAGAAGAGACCCGGGCAGCCTGGCCAGGTCCGTTCGGCTGAAAGCTGAAGCCTCCAGTCGGGATGTTGAGGAGCTTAGCAGCCTCCAGGATGTTGTCCTCTCGCTCCCTCTGGTGGAGTTGCATTTTGCATGTTTCGTTTTCTATAATGTGCACTTTTGTTCTACAAGTATCTTGGCAAATAAAGTACACATGCTTTAATTTCTGTATAAACAGCTATTTTCCGACTGCTGTTCCTTCTCTTTTTGATGGATACCTCCACACATGTTAGTAATCTCACATACACCTTCAACAGTTATTTACAAATAAATACCTGAAACATGTTAACACCTGCAACCAGACTGGTCTCATCTCTATATTCTGTGTTTTTCTCTTCCTTAACGTCTGTCAACACTACCCCTGTATATCTGTAAAAAAAAATGTCTTGCTGCTGCAGTATCTCCCTATTCTCTGCTAGTGTACTTTCTCCTCCCCTTTGTTTTTTGTTTTTGTTGGGGGGGGTTGCGCCTGTCCCACTTGGTTCTTCAGCCATCATAACTGTTGTCTGATGCCATTGTGGCAGGATGAATGTTATTCCTCAGTTCAACCCACTTTCGGCCTGGCGCATTAGGGGGGCGCTAGTAAATAGTGGCCATTTGAGCAGTCCTGGATCGCTTACCTGTGATCTCCTTTTTGGTCACCTGGCTGACTTCCCTTGGGGTTTATTAACCCCGATTCTTTTGTCCCCGTGATAGAACAGAGAAAACCGACTCATAGTGTGTTAAAACATTTATATTTCTTTTTATTCAATCATCATCCGGAAGAGAGAGACCCCTGCACAGCCCAAACGTCAGTTGCAAGAGCTCTAACATTTTTAGCTCCATATATGTCTTATATGGTGTTATTTCTCAAACATTGCTTATATGGCAAAGTTCCTCTTTTCTGTGTCTTATCTATTAATATGCCTGTGCACTAAAACTCCCTGTTTTTCAGTCTGGCTGAGCACTTAGTTTGTGAGTCAAAAGTGGCCTTGCTCTACAAGCCTTCATTATTAAAGTACATAAAACAATATAATAGGAAAATAAGGATACTAAGGATATTGATTTCATGACAGGTTGCAGAGATCATTTGCGGGTTACCCTTCTGAAGCCTCCATCGCGGCTGGTAGGTGTTTACTCATTGTAGTGTGTAATTTACCTTACTTGGTGGTAAACAGATGTTGTTTTTAGGTCGTAGCTGTAGAAGCCTCCTATGAGCCACTCATGTTTCATGACGCGGTTTACTCGGTTTACTCGGTAATTCAATTTTGTTGTTGTCTTTTATTGTTCTTTTATACATATTATGCTTTGCAGGAAGTGTGGGCCTTAGTTTTACGCAAAGCTACGCTAAGTGAAGTGCTGCTGCTTTGCTTTTACTGTCTGTTCCTGTTGCGAGGTTTCTTTTCCTACTGCTGCCAGCCTTTAAAGTGGACTTCGGCGTGGACAACGGCCATATGCTACTCGAGTCGGCTGGCGTGCATATTGATTAGAAGATTAACTTATAGTCGGGCAGACGGCAAGTTGGAGCAATACCAATTCCGTCTGCCCCATATTTTAAAGTTTTATTTAGGCTGTATGTTTGTTCTTTTTTCCGTTGTTTGATTTGTAGTTTGGGTTTTTGTTACGCCACTGGTGGGAGGCCCTTTTTCTAGATGCGGATCACCAGTGTGTTCCTGCAGTTGGGCTATCCCCAGCGTGTGAATATTAGTTTTGTTGTAATATATTAAAATTTTCTTTGTTTCTTTTATTCAGATGCGGAGTGTCGACGTGGAGGAGACTATGGGTGCCTTGGTGGTGGGATCCTTTGAGTGTACACACCTGCCTTTCTTAGTTTATTAGTGTGAGTGTGTGTTTTATCATTGAACCTCGTCTCTATACTGAGTATAACAAACCTAACTGCCTTCTTGGTGATTAGTGTTACTTCCAGTATTATCTGGGTGAAATTCCCAGGGTGGCGTTGTCTTTTAAACTGTGAAGAGTATTTACTTTATTCTCACCTCGTGCTGCTACACCAACAAAGACACCTAACGGATTTACTTTGCCAAGTGGATCATCACGGCTTTGCCGTATTGGTCCGTTCGATCGACCTTTGTTGTTATTATTAATTAATTAATTAATTTTTTCAGCTGTTACAGACAAGAGAGACATGGCTGGGGGATAGAAAAGGGAGGGGGAAAAGATGAAAGAACAGAAAAATAAAGGGGAAGGGGGACAGTGAGAAAGGGCACTTAAACAGAAAGAAAATCTCCCGGATCACCTGTTGAGAAAAAAAAAGAGAGAGAACAAGCAACAAAAAAAAAGAGAGAGAGAGCCGCATAATAAACACAACACCATTGCATTAATCTAGCTAAGTGTAAATAAAAGTAAATACTGAATGTTGTTGTGCAGCACGCAGGACCGACAGCGCACAATGTGATTTGAGGTAGCAGCCAAGAAAGGTGTGGTTTGTGTCTAATAGTGAACACCCGTGTGTACACCGACCGAGCCACGGGCGCCAGGCCCCGCCAAGCAGCCACCGGGAGTGAGCCGATACATACCTGAGCGCCCAGCCCCTTACATTTACATAAAAAAAAACTACCAACGCACCGACACCTGAGGGCATCAACCACCGGCAGGGAGTATGGTGAGGAGAGATAGGCCTCCACACTTTGGAGGGCCTGAAATGTTCCCAGAGAGGTGGAGTCTAAGACCTGACCTGACAATATAGACACAAACGTGCATTCCCACCCTCATGCACGCATATACAAATACTCAGCACTTACCCAACGTAAAGACAGACACAAATGGACGCTGTACACGCACAATCACACCCCCCCCCCCCCCCCCCCCCCCCCCCCCCCAAACATACTCTATACCCCAGGTCCAGGTACCCTCGCCCCCAGAGGGAAACCGCACCTAGACTCAGGAGATGTTACCCTTTCCCCGGGGGTTGAGGCAAGCAGACTGCCCCCGGCTCCGCAGCAGCAGGGAGGCTCCGCATCCCAGACCCCAAACGGACAGCCAGCACCTCCTTCCAGCCCCTCCGCCCCGATGGCTAACAGAGAACGGGGGTGTGTGAAGACTCCATACCTCCCGCTCATGCACAGTGTTGCTGCGTGTTGTTCTAAAGTGCATTTAAAACACGGGAGGGCATGGTGCTTGCTGCCAGAGAGCAGCAGGTGTCAGCACGGCCCCTCCCGAGAACCCTCAATGTCTACATGCATTTAAAATTGAGAGATGGGCACCGGCACCAGAGGTGAGGTTGAATACACAGACCGTCCTTCCTCTTCCCCTTTGAGAAACACGTCAACACCTGCAACCAAACTGTTCTCATCTCTTTATACTGTCTTATCTTCTTCCTTAATGTCTGTCAACACTACCCCTGTATATCTTTTAAAAAATGTCTTCACACTTTGACCTTGAAAGTTAGACTCTTAAATAAAGACACTTTTTTTCATTTCCCACTGTAGAATTGAACACGTTCACCACCAGGGGATGTGTTGAGATGTTTTGGATGTCAACTTGTTTGAAATTTCTTTGTTTCTCAGCATTTCTTCAACAGACTTTCTTTTGCAGAATAGCATTATAAGAACATGCTCTTACATGCCTGACCACCTTCTGGTAGATATTAGTATTACACAGCACAAAAGCATAGTCTCAGATCATCTCCAGCTTGGGGTTTTGGAGAGAAATTTATACTGTAGTGGATGTTTCTGCATATCCTGCTGATGGTTTTAGTTTATTTTTGGAAAGGAATGATAGTGTAACCACACATGCTATGTCTCCTTGCACAGTCTTGAGAGTGTAGATACATCCTGTTCCAGTCTTGAGATACTGGGCCTTTATAGAGAGGAGAGTTGAACAGGTCCACATACAGGCATATACCCAGTAGAATCGATATCTGCTCCTTTGTCTGAGTAGGAACAGGGTGAAGAATGCCTCCTCCATCTGGCTATTAATTTGCATGTCTCTGACCAAATTGTTAGAAAACAAAACATTCCCCAAGCATCAATTGGGCCCAGCCTCCTTTAATGAGACATGTCCTCACAGCCCAGCCCTGTGCAGCTTGACTAGCCTACCAGAACAGGCAGGTACCCCACTCCTTCGTGTCTGTCACATCACGTTTTCTTAAAAGCTTTATTTTAGTTACTGCTTTCATTTACTGCTTCTGTTGCTGTAACTTTCATGCTATGACCTGCTAAACCTATTATGTAACTGCATACTTTGGCGCTGTTTTTGACATGCATCTATTATTACATATGTTAAAGGGACATTCTGCCATGAGGCAAACAGATGCACTACTGCTTGTGGTTTCTTTAAACAACACCTGCAGTCTCAGTAAGCTACACTAGCCAGAGTTTGCAGAGTTTGGAAAGCAAACGTGCATGGATCCTAGTAATGCATGCATATCTTGGCTATACATAGAGCACTAAATAATGATGCATCTGTTTGTTAAACAGCTTGAAAACACAAGAGACAAAATATATGTCACAGTTTAAAAGTACAAAACAGAAACATTTATACATACAATAAGTTGAAGTTGAGCTTTCATTAGTGACAAAATGTTCACAATATTCACATGATAAAAACAGATTCAGCAGATATTTTCTTCAATTTCTTCAATAGATTTTCATTAGTTAAAATGCATCTGACTTAATTTCCCACATGCATTAGTATAAAAATTCCTATTTTGAAAATCTGTCACACACATTTTACACTATGTTTATGTTATTTTTAAGCACTGAAATCTGATCATTTTACACATCCTGAGGGATTCTGGGGCGTACGTCAGTGCACTCGCACTCCTCTTTGTGATGTGAGGTCTCCTCGGACTGAGCCTGACCTTTGGTCTGGCACGTGGGGCAGCAAGCGGTGTGGCCGTCCTGTCTGCAGCTTGGACAGGACAGAACCAGCTGGCAGCAGTACTGGGTGGAGCAGAGCTTGTACTGGTCCCACGGATGGCCGCAGTACCTGCAATCTAAACAGAGTCTGTTATCTTATTTAAAAAAATACATGTATATTAAGAGAATATTAGATCTTATGGATGCTTTCTGGTACTTCTAACATGCAGAGAATGGGCTCTGTTTACACACTAACCTGAGATGATGTCACTGTTTGAGGAGATGGCGTAGCGTTCATCAAACACAAAAAGCTTTCCACGATAGAACCCCTCGGGGAAACGCTCCAGGTACTTATGAATTCCACCTTTCAGCTGGTAAACCTCCTTACACACATCCTGGTACCAGATTTAAGAGATAAATATGAACAAGAACTTAAAATATTTGATGCAAACATTTCAGAAATATGCATTTCTCAATACCTAAACTACTAGTAAAAGGCTCCCCTTGTGGAGAATCAGCAACCTGCAACAAGTGAGCGAGTGAACCCAGCTCCACTAAAAGCTTTCCAGACTGATGACTGAACAGCTTACTTTGGAGCGGAGGTAGGCGGAGCCACGCTCACAGCGGATCCCTCCTGTGCAGTACATCAGAACCTTCTTGTCTCTGAACAGCTCAAGGTTCTGGTCCACGTAGTCTGGGAAGTAGCTGAACTTACGGATATTTGGCGCCAGGCACTGAGTGAACTGCCCCTGAAGGCAAAAAAAACAGCAATTATTAACTGTTACAGCCTTTGCACATTACTCTCTAATAGCACAACCTCAATACCGCTGCTTCTGGCTAAAATACTGAGGCTTATGAAATTGATCCCAGTCATGCTTTTCTGTTTGGATACAGACTCATTATTTCCAGCTACAAATATCAGTGTTCTGCCCATCCTTACTATTTGCTCATGGTAGCTTGTGTAGATGGTGCACAAAAAACTTAAATTACAACATAAATCTCTGGGCATGTCACAAGTATGCCAAGATCATACATTACCCTGAAACCACCAAAATGATCGGATTACAGTTGAATGAAGTCAACAATCTCCTAAAGAAAACAAATTTACTACTCACAATTTTACTCTCATAATAGTTGCGGCAGTCCAGGAGGACGGTGTCATTGCATGAATCTCCTTTAGTCAGAAGAGCCTCCACTTCTTTATGAAACTCGTCGGGCTCCAGATGAACTCCTGAGAGGCAAAACAGACACATACCTGACATTATATACAAGCACAGCATAGAGTTTGTCATCAGCTGGTACAAGAGCACAGCTATGGCTGCAGAGCAGCAATCAAAGCAGACATTTTGCACCTTATTATGATAATAAAGGCAATGATATTAGTAAATCAGCTACAGGTGTCACTTACATTATTAATAATTTCTGTAGGCTTACAGTGTCAGTACAAATAGTACCTGCCAGCTCGTAAGATATAAGATCTGGGTCCACTCCCATTGGGACAATCTCCTTGTAGACCCCAACCTTCAACTCTGTAAAACACTCTGCGCCACCGTCACTGGTCTGAACAAACCCACAAAAACAGCACCATTAATATTCAAAGATTAACAAAAATAAATTAATAACTGCTTAAAGTCTGATTATGGACAAACCACACCCTGATGGAGCCTATAACAGAGTCCTACGATCCTATGAAGCAATATTAAGAGAGGGAGGTGACACTAGTATATAAAATTTCCCTTTATCTGATTCTGACCTTAAAATCCTCCTCATCCATCTCGAACAGCGGATGTGAACGCATTGCTTCTATGTAAATGTCAGTGGCCAAGTTTGTGCCACCAACTGTTCCGTTGATGCCTTCAGTCGCCACCCTCACCTGAAGAAAAAGATCAACACATATTTTAATGGCACGGTTTCACTGAAATTAAGAGAAAAGCCTTTTTTCTTTGCTCTTTCATAGAAGTGTTCCTCAACCCAAGACTGGATGGGACAATTCATTCACCTTGCCCGTTAAGTGGAGCTTCTCACACAGAGCTTTCTGCCAAGCACAGATGACATGTGGCTCCTCGACGCAACAGTAGTGATAGTAAAGCAGAACCCTGCCTGGACCGCTGATGGAGAACGAGAGAACAAAGAACAAAAATAAAACATCAAATTCAAAAATTAAAACGGGACACATTAATAATCTACATATATAGATTAGAAATATAGAATATAGTGAAATAACTGTATTGAGATTGTCTTTACTTTTTAAGTTGCTCCTCAGAGATGTGGCTAATATCGGGAATCCACACAGAGACGTCCACCGTTTCTCCACTGTGCTCATTCACCTGCGTTGCTTCGGGCTCTTCTTCCAGTTGGCTAAACAAATGCTCATACTCGTCCTGTGCGAGCTGCTGTATTTCAGCATTGTGCACTCTGGCCACGTGTTTGTGAATGGCGGCGTGCTCGATGAACGTCTGGCCGCAGCAGCACCACAAAGGGCTTCCTTCCTCGTGACTACCGTCCTTCTTGGATGCCACAAAGGCAGCAAATGACTGAGGGGATAACATAAAAAACAATTAAAGAGTTAAATCTTTAACATGGTCAAATAGATGTTTAAGATTATAAGACAGTGGCTGTGTGATCGTATGCCACAGTTTGGTGCATATGTTGCCCAATATGCGATAATATTGAAATTTGTCCAGAGTAGTTTAGAAACTGTATCCGTTTCTAAAATAAATGACTCAAAAGTTGGTAAATAATGACCCTTCCTTCTTAACAATATATTACTATTGTATTATTATTATATTATCCAACTTAGAGTGGTTGGGCGAGATGGAGCCTATCCCAGCTGACATTGGAAGGTAGGTGGGGCACACCCCATCTGTCAGTCCATCACAGACTGTAAAACAGGACATGGGAGCATATCAAAGTACAAGGAGGAAACCTATGGGGGGGGGGGGGGGGGGGGCTTCCTTGGCCTCTAAGTTATACAACAACAACAACAACAACAATAATGATGATAATAATAGGAAAATATAGTTTTTTAAGTAGAAGAACTACTTTTTTCTGCTACACTCCCAGCTCACAGCTGAGAAACCACTGATTAAAAATACAAAATTACAGAATGCAAAACAGATCATAACGGGGTTTTTTTTTTAATATTGTTGTTCATAAATATGTAAACTGTCACCAATTGTCTTTTGCAATTTGAAGTTTTTTTTCATGAGTGTGCTCAAATGTGTATGTATTTTCAGATTTTAAATAGAAAATACAGATTACAGATCAGATTCATTTAGATGCTTAGAGAGGCCAGTGACAATTTAAGGCTTTTATCTTTCTTAGATTTTGAGATATTAATGTTCAAACATTGCCTCAGACTTCAATGTGCGAAAAACAAAATTAAATATCTTGAAATTTCACAATAATCGTTATATATGTCCAACAATTGAACCATAAAACAGGGATTCCAGTCAGTGTGTCCTGATGCTCACCTTTCTCCTGCAGAAGCTGTAGTATCTCCTTTGTGGGGCAGAAAGTTGCTTCTCCTGTTTGAATCCATTACAAATTGAAGAGTCAACCTCCCAGTTTATAAACTCTGAGCAGGGTGTATCATCCGCCGCCATTGTGTTTTTAAAAGAGCTTTTAAAACAGTTGGCGACTAACCCGTCTCACCAGAATTAAAGATAAATTCTAACATATTATTTTAAGGAAACAAACAAACACATCCTCCAAACGTGCACCGGAAAACTCAGCACAAGACTCCGGACACCAAAGACGGGTGCACTTTCCGGGTTAGCCGGATGTGCTTCACTTGAATCAGACCGCTTTTATTTTTCTCTGAGCGGCTGGCTGCTGAATGATCCATAGATAAACTCGTTTAACGGACTCATTGTTTTGTTTCTCGTTCAACACATATTTTGGCTTTGTTACATTCACATCGAAGCGGGGTGAAACATGTCCAGGAGGCGGCACAGCGATGAGAACGACGGTGAGTCGGTGCACGTTAACGGCGTGTTATTCACACCGTTAGGCTAACCAGCGGTGGCTAGCTGGCGTTAGCGAGCTTTTCATGCGTCCCCTACGCACTGTTGGGAGGGTTATTTTACTAGTTTAATGTTTGGGTTTTATCGGCGAGATCCAGAAAGTTCAAAACCAGTGATGACCGCAGTATTCAGTTACATTGTGGCGCACTGAAAGCGAGAAAAGTGCTCAAACAGTCGCATGCAGCCGCAAAATGAACCGGTGCAGCTAGCTGCAGGATTAGCTGGCGTTAATCAGCGTAGTCAGCGACTATGGGGGCGGTAACCAAACACTTCAAAACATGCACGAGATTTAGTGTTAACATCTGATTGAAAGTTTAACTATGGATCTGGATTTATGGGCGGGGAAAATCACCTAAAAATATCAAATATTTTCCCGCAGAGTGCAAGATCCTGAAATTAAATGTGACCTGGTCTGTTTAAAGATTAAATCAGATCTCTTCTCTTAATCTGGGACTATGGTAACTTTGCATATGTACATGGGCAAATCAAGTTTCTTAATATAGCACTTTTCAAATACTACAGTCATTCAAGATGCTTTACAAGATTAAGATTAAAACAGAAAAGAAGGGAAATGCAGAAATAGTAGTAATATTCATAGCAACCACAATAATAGCAATGATGGTAATAAAAAGCAGAGATGTCAAAAGTTATTTTGTGTCTTGGTTCACACACAGCCACACATACAGTTTGAATTATAAAACAGTTTTTGTTAATTCACAGAAAATACCCTGTCTTTTTTTTTTTTGTCACGTCTCTCTTTTAAAAATTATACATTTGTACAGTAAACGTAAACATATCTGTCATTTAATTGTTCGCCTGTTGCTTAATTACTTTGGCATAGGATCAGTAGCCATGGAGTTCTTTATCTGTATAAAAACCTATAAAAGTTATGAAAATACAATCAAGAAGCCAGAATTAATGCCCTCCTTCACACTTTTGAAAGCTGCCCATGGAGGCCAGACTGGAGTATTTCCTGGGCCGATTGTGGCCCCTGGCCCTTATGTTTGACACCCCTGGTTAACAGCATAGCAGCTAAGTGCTTTATTAGCCTGTTTTGTTTAAGATTCAAGCAGCATTAGGTGACCAGATCTTGCAAACCTTAGGGTTTGTATCTATAAAACAACTCGGACATATATTTAGGGCTGAAGCCCTTTAATGAGTTGTGTAGTGTGATGTGTAGTTTCTTTTCCAGGAAGGTGCACATCAGGTTAAGTCATCAGATTTTGAAGGAGTTTGCTAGTATGAAGTACCTACGCCGTGCACTTAAGACAAGTATAGAACTGCTGTTAGGTGTGGCAGTCTGCATGCGACACCAGGAAAGTAACTTATTAATCCCAGAAAGAGAACGCTGTTGATACAGTGCTGTTTGGTTTGATAAGACATAACGAACAACCACTCGAGACTACATCCTTACTTTTAATATATTAACAGTGTTAATAAACCTTTATATAAATAACAGAAAATAGAGAAAAAATAATGTAAAAATAATTTGGTCCCCTTTAAATGTTCAATTCAATTGCTGGATTCATGTTTTGTTAATGCTCTTATTCTTTAAATGACAGTGTAAGTGTGCTTTTCTGAACTTCACATAGCTTTATTTTATCAGACCATTGTTCAATTCATAGTCCTGTGCTGTCTGAAAACCACTGAACGTGAAATGATGGTGTAACTGATGAACACAGCGGAGAATTTATCATCCTTACTTTGAAAAGACTCATTGAGATTAGAGTGCACTAGCTAAGAGAAACTGACAGATAATTCCTACAGGAGCTGGTTGAGCCTCTTCTGGCTCTGATTATTGTGTTACTCTTTCACCTTTCCAGGAGGTCAAGCCCATAAGAGGAGGAGAACATCGGAGCCGATTGAGATCGAAGACCGTCTGGAGTCACTGATATGTCGTGTTGGGGAAAAGGTAAGGAGACTCTACAGGAAGGACACATTTTTATTTTCAGGATGAGTAGCTTCATTTTCCACTCTAGAGAGATGAGCCACACAAGTTCAGTGCAAAACTTTGCTTCTAAAGTAAATGCCAGAATGTTCTTTTTAAGTCTTTGTGTTAAATTGCTTTCTAGTGACAAATTGCTCTTGTGCGAAAATATTTCCTTACAGAGCACATCATCCCTCGAGAGCAACCTGGAGGGCCTTGCTGGCGTCTTAGAGGCAGACCTCCCAAACTACAAAAGCAAAATTCTGCGCATTTTATGTGCTGTGTACGTTCACACCTCTCACCCTTTGATTTCTAATAAATTTTGCAAGTGTGTTTTGTGTGGCGGCAGTCATTATATGTTGTCATTTGTTGACAGTGCCCGCCTCCTGCCCGAGAAGCTGACCGTTTATACGACCTTAGTCGGCCTCCTTAACGCCAGGAACTACAACTTTGGGGGCGAGTTCGTTGAGGCCATGATCAGGCAGTTGAAGGAGACGTTAAAAAACAACTTGTACAGTGAAGCTGTTTACTTGGTATGCTGGCTTTTATAATAATCCTACAGATTGCTTTTAAACTAATTAACATGGCCACTTTGTATTTATTTTACATAATGACATCTCTTTCTTTAGGTGCGTTTTCTGTCTGATTTGGTAAACTGCCACGTGATTGCTGCTCCCTCTATGGTGGCCATGTTTGAAAACTTTGTCAGTGTTACTCAGGAGGAAGATGTGCCACAGGTAGGCAGATGGTTTATGGTGTGAAACAAGCTGCATTGTACCCAAAAGCAATTTAAATAATTTGTAATGTTCACATTTGAGCCAGACCTTACATTAAAATAGTAATTATTTGATTTATCTGTTTCTTTCTTTCTTTTAATTTTGGTGAGTCTTTATCATTATGGAGCACATTTTGATCTTTTTTCACTAGCCCATGGCTGTGTCACAGTCCACACTGTGGTGGATTATGATCCAGTCCTTTAATTGGTCTCTTTTTTGTCAGGTTCGGTCGGACTGGTTTGTGTACGTCGTTCTGTCCTGTCTGCCCTGGGTCGGGAAGGAGCTCTATGAAAAGAAGGACGTGGAGATGGACCGGCTCCTCAGCCAGATTGAAGGCTACCTCAAGTACGTTCCCCGGTTTGGTTAGATTTTAATTAAGCAATCATCGTTTGCTGCCGTTGTTTCGTTTTTATTCTTGGCTACATCCACATTTTTCAGGAGGAGAGTAAAGACCCATGTCCCCATGCTGCAGGTGTGGACTGCAGATAAACCCCATCCACAAGAGGAGGTGAGTCTTGCAGTCGGTTAAACAACAGCAAATATGTGCAATGGTCAAAACAGTAAAAGTGTCTCCTTATGGCCTCATGTTTACTAGAGCTTGCTGTTTGGATACAGCAATGTTTGTTTTCGTCTGAGTAAACGGATCGTATCTTCCTTCCTCCAGTACCTGGACTGCCTTTGGGCTCAGATTCAGAAGCTGAAGAAAGACCGCTGGCAGGAGCGTCATATTCTTCGTCCCTACATCGCCTTTGACAGCGTGCTCTGCGAGGCCCTGCAACACAACCTGCCCCCCTTCACCCCACCGGGCCACATGCCCGACGCCCAGTACCCCATGCCCCGGGTCATCTTCCGCGTGTTTGACTACACCGACGCCCCAGAGGTTCATTACAAATAAAACTCTGTCTGTCAAACTCTTCTTCTGCAACTTTTTACATATTCATCTCTTTCTGTTCAGGGACCTGTTATGCCCGGCAGTCATTCTGTGGAGAGATTTGTTATAGAGGAAAACCTGCACTGCATTATCAAAACTCACTGGAAAGAGAGGAAAACATGGTGAGCAATGAGGGCTTTTTGTTTTTTGTTTACACCTGAATGTGTGAATAAATAGTGACTCGTATTAATTTTTTACTAAAATGCTTAAACTAATTTTTTGTTGTTCTATTCCTAACGCTCAGCGCTGCCCAGCTCCTCAGCTACCCAGGGAAAAATAAGATCCCACTCAACTATCATATCGTCGAGGTATATTTTCTTTCTTGTTTCTGGCATCAAAAAGTAGAAACAGTGCAGAGCTGTTTTAGTCTAATCTGCTGGCTTAATGGCTTTTTTTTTCTCTTGTAGGTGATCTTTGGGGAACTTTTCCAGCTGCCCTCGCCGCCTCACATCGATGTCATGTACACCACACTGCTGATCGAGCTCTGCAAACTGCAGCCCGGATCGTTGCCCCAAGTCGTATCCTTGGTTATTTTATCTTAAAAAATAACCTTTAGCTGCTCCTTTGAAAAATTTGAACACTTGTTTGAATTAAATACACCAAACTGTTGCAAAAGGCAACCGTGGCCATCTTTAATTTAGATTAGTTTTAGAGATTAACAGGGCCTAAGTATTTTAGCAGTCGGTCTTATGTAATCATTGTTCAAACCCCAGGATTCAATACTGAGACGCTGAGAGTTTGGTGAAATAGTTTATCGTGGGTAACCTTGGCTGTGGGGCTAAAAGGTTAGCATTTGAGTCAAATGTGTGACTGGATTCTCCTCTCTGTTGTTCCTGTGACATTTTCTTCATAATAATTTAATACAGGCAGCAAAAATATGCACCAGATAATGCAAAAACACATATTTGCCATGTCGCGATCAAATTGAATAATTCTTCTAGGGCATCCATTCTCATCTGCTTATCCTTGTC